CTCTTACCCTCAACATCTCTGGCCTGTACCCCAGTTCTGTATGAATAAATAAATAAATCTTTTTAAAAATAATAATAATTGATGTCAGTTTTATGGCATTATGATCCAAAAGAACGCTTGGTGGGATTTCAGTCTTCGTAAATGTATTGACAATTGACTTGTGACAGACCATACAGTCTGTTCTTGAATATGTTCCCAGTGCAGTTAAAAAAAAAATGTGTATTAGCAGTTCGTGGGGGAAATCTTTCATAGATGTGCACTGGATCTGTTTGGTCTGGCTCTTTATGTACACATTGTCTTGTTGATGTGATCATTATTGTGAGTGGGGTATTAGGGTTCCCTAGAAAGAAGGCCCTATCTATCCTCCAAGGAGATCATTCTCCCCAGAACCCAACCTGCTGGTCCACTGGTCTCCAGCTTCAGCCTCCAGATTGAGAAGTGCTCTTTAAGTCCCAACCCCCCACCTATAATAATTTATTATAGCAACCACACCCAATTACGACCCCAGAGAAACAGCAGTCAGGGTCAGCCATGGGCTCTGCTGGACCCTACAGTGGCTAATCCTGGGTTCACTGTCCCACAACAGGAGCAGATCCAGGCTGAGTTGGCGATAAATACAAGAGAAAAATTAGGTAACTTGCTGGAGTCCAGGTAGGACAACAGGTAGACTTAACACTATACGTGTGACCCACATTACACTTCCACTGATGAGCACTGTGCTGGGCAATCCCTCCTTGCTGGTGTCCTCTCCCTGCCTCCCCCTGGGGAGGTGCACAAAGGCAGCCAGAGGTGCTTCTGAATCATAAAAGAAATCACCCCAGTCCCTCGCTCGAATTCTCCCGGTGGCTCTTCAGCATATTTTTAATACAGTCCAAAGTTCTCCCCAGGACTTGCAAGGCCCTGCTCCCTACCTCATCACCTGTGGGCCCAGACCTCCCTAACTCAGCTGCCACACTTGCCCTGTGACATGCTGAGAGCAGGTCGGACATGGCCCCACCTCGGGCCCTTTGCGTCTCTCCACTCCCTCCTCTCAGATCCTGTTCAATGTGCCCCTCCATCATCTGTCTAAACCAGCGTGGCTCTCCCTCACTTCCACCTCAGCCCGCCTCCCTTACTTTATTTTTCTTCACATCACTCTTCTTTACCTACCAGTATAGCACATAATCTATATTTTATTTGACAGCCTATTTGTTTTCTGTCTCCTACCTAATGGAACATGACCTTAAATTGACAGGGCTTTTCAGGTCTCTGGCTGGCACAGACGGTCAGTGCATATTTGTTAAATGAACTAATAAATGAACAAATAGTAGGAAGTTCATAAGTAGCTGGTAAACATCTCAAGGGCCTACAGGAGACCTGTCAGACTAGCAGAAGTGAGGTGTGCTCCGTTTGGGGGAACAGAGACATGGAAAGAAAAAACGTGTGTGGACACTGTTAAGAACTTTTCAGGAAAACATTTATTAACTCTCATCGCCCTCGGGCAAGGCTGGGATAGGGAAGAGAAGGAAGATCTTCCGGGAGCCTGCGGGGCTGTCCTCAGCTCTCCTGTTCTTTGTGGATGTCTTGGTGAGCCGTGAGCAGCACAGTGGACACCAGCTTTATGAATTCGTTAAAAGTGACCTCTCCGTCTTTGTTCGTATCCAAATCTTGAAATATTTTGTCAATGGTAGCTTGATCTTTGTTGTTCTAGAAGGGGAAAACAAGAACACAGAACTCAGCCCTTCTTCCCCTTCTCCAGGCCTCTCCTCCCCTCGGGCTCTGCTCAGGCAGGAGGGGAAAACATTGACGCATCACCCAAAGCTATTTTGGGGAAGCTGGTGTGACCAAAGAGAGACAGAGGAGCACCTGTCAGGGCCCAACCAGAAGAGAGTGCTGCTGACCAACCCAATGCCAGCCGTCCACTTTGCAGGTCAAAAAACAATCCCAGAAAGAGGGGCTGAGGAGAGGCAGCAGGGGCAGGACCTCCCCACACGCACACTGGGGCCGGCCCACCCCAGTCCTGGCCCCACTGTCACCCTCAGGCTTGCCATTGCATGGGGACTGGGCCAGTCAGCGATGAGAGGGACATCACCTACCTTGATGGTGTTTGCAAGTTCCTTTGTGATCAGCCTCTTCAGCTCCCCCCTGGAGAGGGTATCATAATCTCCCACCCGGACCGAGTAGTGGTGGTAGACATTGATAATTCCCTCCAGATGGTCTTCCAGCTTTGTCATCTTCCCAGCCTCGCCTTAACCTTCAAGAGACAGGGGAGGCCTAGGGCAGCTGCTCCCGACCCCCACAGCCACTCTTTCCTCTCTTTGTGCATCAAGAACTTAGAGAAGGGATGACTCCCTCTGCTTTGTGTCTGCTTTGAGTTCTCTCTGCTCTGTATTGGTCCGTGGTGAGTCCTCATTTTTAGACAGGATGGGGAAGAAGGATGTATTATTGCACTACCTAAATCCTACAGGAATTGGCCTGAGTTGCCACTGTGTTTTATGCCCCGCTGTCTCCTGGGCATTCAAGTCAAAGGCTATTGCTCACTTCAGAGCACCTGGAAGGAGGCTGTGGCTGGCTGGGCTGTCTCCTTCCCCCAGGTGATATTTGAAAGATCGTACAGATCTCTACCACCCCACCTACCTTTCTGGTCCCTAAGGGTGAGCACAGCAAAAGCTGGTCTCCTTGGGTCCAAAGTTTGGTCAGCCCAGAGGTGCTCCAGCAAGGAGGCTTGCAACAGTCTGCCAAATGGCCATCTGCCATCACCACCCCAAGAATGCCCTGGGAGGCCCAGCCAAGGAAAAGACACTTACCACCAAACGCAGGAATGTGGAGGGCAGCCAGAGACCAGTGCTACTGCAGGCCACCGAGGCTGGGAGGGTTTTATAAGGCACCGCAGGCTTGCCTTACCTCCTTGAGTGAGGAAACATCTCTGATTCATCTTGAGGCAATTGCTAGACAGCACTCGGTTGCTCAAGAGAAATTTTGAGCCCGTAACGCTGACTGCAACACAGGCCACCCCTTGCCCGGCCTGCAACAGAGCCGCAGCCTCAGCCCCGCCTCCTTCGCGCCATGCTCCAAGCAGCCCTAGAAGTGAGTGCTAATAAATAATGTTCCCATGCTGCAGATGAAGAAACTGAGTTCAGAGCTTATGTAACTTCTCTAAACGGCAAGTCCAAAGTTGTCTTCTTTCAAAATCTTTACTACGATTGCCCTTTTTCATTAAAATGAGAAGTCTTGTTAAAAAGGATAATGCAGGCTCATGCTTCTTATGAAAAAAGAAAAGCAGCTTTTGATGGTATGGGCAAGCACGCCCAGGGCAGGCGGGTTCACTGTGGATTTGGGCAGCCAGGCAAAGGAATTGTGGAGCCCTCCATAGATTTGACAGGCTTTAAATGCTGGAGCAGGGGACAAGACTCACAGGCACACCACAGAGGGGGTGTCTGGCAGCAACTGAGAACCCCAACCCTCGCCGTCTCCACTCTCTGGGGTCCTGTCTCTGGGGTCCTCTCTCGGGCTCCCTGTCACATCTCCCCTCTCCTCAGAGTGACTCCATGAGTGCCAGAGCTCGGGAGCCCCGCTGACCCCTTGCTCTGTAGCTCAGGTGTGTCTGCTTTTACCTGTGCACGTGTCATGTGCACATGGTCCCAAGCACCTTCCCAACATCTTGTCATGTGTGGACAATGACACCGGGAAGAAAACAAAGACCCAGGTGTAGGCCATAGAGGCTGGCCATGGGAAGGCGAAAAAAGCCAGCGTGGCGCCTCTCCCCCGTGGGATAGGTACAGCAATCTTATATCCAACACTGGTCTTTTTCTCCTAGTATTTTTCCTAATGCCTTAATTGTTCAATAGCCTTTTCAAGAATTCCCCCCTCCACATACCCCTCACCCAATAGGCCAGCTCCTGGAGTGAGAAGCCTCAATTCCCAGGCTGCACCCTCAAAGTTGGGATTGAATGGCCCCAGATACATCCCTCAATGATAAATACCAGAGGGCTCACCACACAGGGGCAGGGTGAGCAATTTCTTCACCTGTGTAGTCACCTCCCTGCCTCGTTTAGTTTTGAGTTCTCCATAAGTTTCAAAGGAGAAAGTCACTGAAAGCAGCAGAGCTCAATTTTTAAATTCATTTTGCTTTGGCGCTGACCCACCAGTGTGGACGTGGATCACTCTTCCCAGCCACGTGCTGGGGCCCAGAATCAGCCTCAGGGCTCTGGCCACTGGCTTCTGGGGGCCCACAGAAACACTCCCATTCTGTCCTCCACATGGTGGGGGCCCACTTATTCCAGCCTTTCCTCTGACAAAGCACCAGAGCCCAGAGCCTGAGCTCCAGCCCCAGCCTCAGCCCCAGGCCCAGGCCCAGCCCCAGCCCCAGCCTCAGCCCCAGCCCCAGCCCCTGCTTCTTGGCCCTCCAGCAAGGCCTTAGGGAAAATAAGAAACACCTGGCTCCTGGCACCTCGAAAAATGTGCTTGCCTTCCCTCCTACCTCTTCCCAGTTGCAGGCTGTGACACCCTCAGGGCTTTGTCTGAGAACTGTGGGCCTCCTGGCTATCCCACTGACAGCAAACACTTGAGGCTGGGACTGAGCAGGAGGGAGTGGGAGCTGGTCCTGTGTTTGGGAGGTGTGAAAATGTACCCCACATTTACAGAGTTAGATAAATGGCTCATGAATCAATAAAAATGAAATAAAAAACAACAGAAAAAGAAACCATCCTATAGAGATACTGTTCACTTACCACACAACTCACTCATGCAAAGGTCTATGCAGTTCTGATAAGAAGATAGCACAGTCTAAACATCCAGCCAACCCCCGGCAGCGCCAGGAGGGAGTGTGGCAGACAGGACTTGGCATTACAGCCTCCGGGGCACAGGTGGTCCAGACAGGACTGGGAACTGGGCTACAACTGTAACAGGCAGACGTCAGAGAAAAGGAGCATCCCGGAAGGTCACAGGCTTCGTGCAGAGAAAATCTCTGTCACTGGCACAGACAAAGAGGCTGGCGTGTTTAGGGGTACGTGGCCCCATGCATTTCCCAGAAATCTGGGGAGATGACTGACGCTGAGCAATCCTGCTCTCTAGAAGGTACCTGAAGTCCAAGCTATGCCGAGCACCTTTCACAGAGGACTTACTGGGCCCTGGAGGCTAATTCCAGAAGGCGGGAGACTCCATAGTGAGGGAGGGGAGAGCCAGGGACACACCTGGTGGGAAAGCACTCAGGTCTGTGCGCAGGTGAAGGTGCCCAGCTGGGACTCTGTTGCATGGAGATCGTCTGTCCCGTGGGAGCTTCTAAAACCCTGCAGATCTGGGAAGCAGCTGACCTTTCAAGGCCTTTAAAAAAATCAAAATGGCCACGGCAGCCCCTTCCTTTTACAATAAGGGAGGTGGCCATAGCTGGTGTTTGAGCCTATTCTATGAACCTGCCTTCAGCAATCCGGAGGCTGAGGCTGGTGTCACAGGAGAGAGTGTGAATCTTCCCTCACAGGGATTCAGCCTCATAGCAACACCTCTGATTCCCCCAAGAAATAACGGGAGGTGATAAAAACAGGTCCAGGGAGAGAAGTCAGACGTCTCTCTGTTTGGACACATAAAAAGGAAGTTATTGGAGGTCTCCACTCCCCCAGCCTGCACCCCCGAGAGCAAGGAGAGGAAGAGAGCCTCTCCTCAGCCAGGAGCCAGGGCATCCCAGGCCCCAGGACCTGCAGACAAGAGCAGTGTCGCTGAAAACTAGGTGTGGGGGTCTGCACTCTGTTCTCACCCAAACTGCTCCACCACCTGCTTAATGTCTGGGCAGGAGCTGGTCAACCCCAAGGCAGCTGGGCTTTTGCACCCCACCAGAACTGGTGGGAGCCCTCCTCTGAAGTGGCAGGTGTTGGGGTTTGAGTAACAAAGTCAGCCATACTCTCCTGAAGAAGATGACAGGAAACCCACTCCTCTTCCAAGTTCCCAGGCAGGGTTCCTGGGGTACCTCAGGAAAACCCACCCCAACATAAATAGGCTTCCCATAAGGCACACCATGCCTTGCTCCTACAGCATGGATATTTGGATGTGCTGTCCTCTTATCAGAAGTGTGTAGCACTTTAAATGAGTGAGTTGTGTGGTAGGTGAACAGTATCTCAATCGAACTGTTTTCTTTTCTGTTGTTTTTTATTTCTTTTTTATTGATTCATGAGCCATTTACCTAGATACATAAATGTGGGTACATTTTCACACCTCCCTATGTGTACATGCGTCACTCACCCACCACCAAAGCTTCTGTAGGGAAGACTGAGCCCCTTCTTTTCCCTCTCCCTTTCTCCTTCTCCTAGTGAAGCTGTTGGTTTTTGTTTTTGGTCTGTGTTTTTTAAGAACTGCTTGGACATTAGGGGGGCAAGGAGCATCGGCTAACACGGGCCCTCTCGTGGCAAATTAAAGCAGATGCTTGACTAGCTGGAAAAGATTCTCTGGGTGAGAGAATCCCAAGGTTTTCAGAATAGGCAAGGCAGGAGCTTTCTGGAGACCAGTTCTGTTTCTCCCTGTTGGGCAATAACTTTGACATGCCTGCCTTCTTGGCCCCCAGAGTGCAGTTAGTCAGCGGTGCTATTGACCAACTTGGGGAAAAGAAACCTCCTGGATGAGGTAAGAGACCTATTGGCCCCAGTGGGAGTCAAAGGAAGCCAAAGATACCTCAAGTCAAATTACTATGAGGAAAACGGTGAGTAGGCCAGTGACAGAGAGAATATGCAGCCTCTGGTGAAAACTCTCCCAAATCCAGTCTTCCTCTGGCATCACTGCCTGAGCATCAGAAGAGGAATTTTAAAAGGAGAAGCAGCTTCCCAGCAGAGTGCCCCTGAGCTTCCCAGCAGCTTGATAGAGAAACATCACAGACTCGTGTAAACTGGCCTCCAGCATCAGCTCCAACAGTGAAGGGAAGCAGCCACGAAAGAGTGCTGCTCCTGTCTGTCCCCTTTGGTAACCACAGAATCAGTCCCAGAGTCCCCACTGGCTGAGTGGGCCCTGGGCATCCTCCTAATCAGAGTGTGGGTGCATGAGCAACTAACTGGGAGCATCACACACAACTGCAATTAATGGATCAAATCACACTTACTGCATTTGGGGGTTTTCTGAAAGAATCCATCTGTCTCATAATCATTTGACTTCCCTAGAATTGCAACCAGCTGCTTCTTGAGATAGTGCCTGCAGTTGTATCTGCAGTTTGGTTTATGGGGATGGATGTGATGTTAACTCTCAGATGTCAGTGCTCGGATGAGTTTGAGTGATCCGCACAGAAGCTACTGTCTATCCCTTGCACAGCACAGAGCAGTTGGCAGAATATTGTGGAGGAAAGAGAAGGCAAATACACCATTTTTTAACTTGTTGTAAAGTTAATATTTGAGCCCCAAAATAGATCACAGAAAAGGGAAGATCATCAGAGTGGTTTTTGAGATGCCTATTTCAGTCTATAAATTTCCAAATCGCAGAACCTCTGAATCCTAGAGTATGGCACTTTCTATCCTGTCCCTAGGATGGGGGTTACAGGGACAGGCTGTGAAAAGGACCACTCAGCCCACAGAAAAACCCCCAAAATACCCACAAGTAAATGTTTTCCAGTAATGACATGAAGAGCTTCAGGGGAAGAACTCAGTCCAAATTTTGCTGGGACACATTAAAATATCCACAAGAAAGCAATTATGCAGGAGGAGAAACAAAGCAAGTGATAAAGTGGAAAAACAGTTGTGCCCTGCCCAGTATTTGCTGTCTCCAGAATCCAGCACCTCCTGAGCTCCCATTACTTCCCCTTTATTTTTTCTTGTCTTATAGCATTGGTGAGGACCTCCAATACAAATTTTAAATGGAAGCACTAATGGGATTCTTGTCTTCTTCCTGTCATTAAGGAAAATATTAAAATGTTAACTACTGAGTATATTTATAATTAGGTCTTCATAATAGAGGATTCTAGGATGAAAGCAGGAAGAAACCCATAGTATCCTATTTGGCTTCGGGGTTTTTTTTTAACAATTTTTTAAAAACTGTGCATACAGAGTTGGTGTACAGGCCAGAGGAGCAGGGGCGGTGAGAGGATTCACCAGAGATAGAGTGGGGAGCAGAACAAGCAGACTGACGAAGTGCACTGCTGAGGGGAGCAGTGGGAAGGTCAGGAGAGGTCTGCTGCACCATGTGGTCACCTCCTGGGCAGGGATCGAACTCATGCTGAAGTGGCTTTAGCTTCTTAGTGCTGTGCTTTAATCCGCTGCACCACCCAGCAGGGCCTGGCTTCGGTATTTTTTCGAAAACACAAGGGAAAAATGTGCCAGAGCAGAACAAAATGCTGAGCACAGTGAGCTGGCTAGAGCCTTGATGAGCAGAGCTGGTGAAAACTCCCTGCAAGGGCTTTGACAGCAGGTAGCTCTATGCTTTTTGCTGCAAGAGGGACCTCTTCAGAGATGAGGATGGGGATCCTGTCCACTGAAAGAGGGATGCACACAGTTCATTTGAAAGACTATCAGAAGGTCTAAGCCCCGACCTTAGGAGCCAGGACTGACTGAGTTTACAAACCAGTGTGCTGCCCATGTGGGAACTCCCACAGCTCCTCAGACTGGAAGGAAGGAGGAGAAATTGTTACTACACAACATCCACATTCAGGGAAATCAAAATGCCAGCCTTATTGTGTTATCATTGTCTAGAGGATTGCTCACTCCAGGAAAAAAAAAACCACCAGTCCTGAGGCATGTCTGGTGACACCTGGAACTTATCACCTGGACCTGCTGGCCCTGTTCCTCACCCCTGGATGGCAGAGATCCTGAAGAAATGAGAAGTAGGCCAGACAGGCCAGTAAAGGGAGGGGGCCCTCCATACACAGGCAGGAACCCAATAAAAGCATGCTTTGGTGGTTTAATCAGACTTTCTCACCTGGAGATGGCCTGGTCAAATCCTAACTTTGCCCCTTGCCCAGATTAGTAAATTGGTAAAGTTTCTTGACTCCATACACAAAACAGAAATAGTAATCACCTCCCTCACTGGATTATTATGAGAAAAATAAGTGAGATAATGTCTTGTGCTAAAAAGTACAGTCCCTGTCTGGTGGTGCAGCAGGTTAAAGCACAGCACTATGAAGCTATCCACAGCCATCACAGCATGGGTTCGATCCCCAGCCAGGGATGTGACCCACATAGTAAAGCAGACCTCTCCTAACTCACCTGCTGCTCCCCTCAGAAGTATATTTCACTCGATCTCCCTGTTTTGCTCCCTACTCTGTCTCTGGTGAATCCTCTCATCCCTGCACTTCAGACCTGAACCCCAGTTCTTGTATGCATGAATAAATAAATCTTTTTTTTTTTTTAAGTACCATTGTCAGCAATGTAGTGGGCCTACTCAACGATTTTGTTTTAAATCATAAAGGAGAAACTCAGCAATGAAAAATTTTTTTAAGTTGGTTTGAAAAAGATTTGAAAATATTCAAAGACAGTCAGGGAAGGAAAGCCTAAGCCTTTATAAATTAGCCATAAGACTCTTTCTATGTTCAACTAAGGGATTGGGACCGCAATTGTCAGGGGTTTATCATGCCTAACAGACAAGAAAATCATAGCATCCTATTTAGTAGATGTAAACCACCTCCTTTATCTATTGTGACTTGTTCATCAAATAAACTTTGCCAGTCACATTAAACTTCCTGAAAGTGTCAGTTGAAGGGAGATAAATAAGTAGTAAGGCCTTGCTTCTGGGGGAGAGTGTCTACATGTGACAAAGATTTAGGCAATTCCCAAACAGCAAATACAGGTTTCAGATGACTATTTCCTGACACACTATCTCACACTGACAACTAACAAAAGCCCAAAAGGTTGTGGTCGCTTTCCTTCTGCGCTTCAGCTCATTTGCATCTAGGCTGAACCTCCCTGTTCAGGAAGCTGGTATTTGAATACAACCACCATGTTTCTGGTCTCAAGTGGAGAGATGTTCAGGATGTTTTCCTTTGGAATAATTTCTTTTGTTCAGATACCCACTGCCCAATTCCAGATCTTCTCTATGCCCTTTTGGACTTTTGTCACAACCACCAGGCCAAAGTCAGGAGCCTTGTGTGGAGAAGCAGGTTTTCAGATCATGACGGCTTCAGAAATCTCAGTGGCATGGTCTACCCTGCTTGGTAAACACTGGTCTGCTCTGTGGCTGCAGTGTTGCATGAGATTTCCTGCTAAATTAATTGCTCAACTTCCTACTGCCTTGTTGTTCTTAGGTAGCTGAGGAAACAGGAAACTGAATCCCCTTGCTCTGGGCAACAAGCCCTCCTGACTCTGCCCAGGGGTTCTGTGATGGAGAGTCTTGTTTGTAAATTACAGTTTCCAGTCAGCCTCCTCTATGGACCTCCCAAGAGAGCCTCCTTCACCTCTACCTCCAAGCTGCCAATGCCAACTGGGCCTCCTCTCCTGCCCAACCTTGAGCTCAGGTATCAACTGCCAGCAGCCCAGTGCCAATGCAGGTCTCCATAACCCAGCCATCACTCATGGTGAAACTCTGGAGGGAACTCTGGGATACTCCCAACCTGATCAGACAAAAAGACTCATTGGACTCAGAAGTAAAACCAAACAGAATTCATAATGGTGAATTTTGAAGAAGAACCCACTAGCAGGAAACCCAAAAATGTATCTTTAAAGAGAATCAAAGACATTGAGATATGTGGCATCCCCACCCCAGTCCAGACACATATACACCCAACCACAACATCAGTGTGGGAAACAGGGAGGCAGAATCAGGCTGCTCCCTTCTTTTTTGTATTCTCAGATAATATTCCCTAAATATTAAGTGAGGTCTGGGACATGCCTGGGGAGGCCTGGAGTGTTCTTATCCTGTTTTTCCTGGGCCATTTAAGCCAGCTCACCTTTAATTTATAGTGAGATGGCCACAGCAGCTCAGGACGCCTCTCCTCTGCTTCAAGTCCTGCCACGCCACCCGCAAGACCCCAAACCTCTGAGGTAGAAGCGCCAGCTTCAGGGAGTGGCTGAAACGATCCTACAGGAAAACTGAAAAGAGGAGCTACTTTGTCCAGGACCCTTCCCACATGCCCAGCCGGAGTCTATCTCCAAACCTATAGCCAGGTTCTCCCATCCCTCTTTAGGCTCCAGTCTTAATTCTCCACTGACTTCACTAAGATGTTAGTTGATAATAAAACTAGCTAGTAACTGAATCCTTGAACCCTTAAAGGGGGTTTAAGCTGTTACCTTTCCCTGTTCATTTGCACTTTAGTGTGATCAAAAACAGCTGCAAACAAAAAGCCCAGCAGTCTACGCAGGAAATCTGTGGTGCTCGAGGCCAGACCAGCTGAGGAGCATTTTGTTGGTGGGGCTGCGAAGGGCTGGCACTTCCTGAAGCCTTGAGGAACTGGCCACCTCTCTTTTCTTCTTAGGTGTCAAACACTGCTGGCTTCTCCAAACACACACGCACGCACGCGCACGCGCACACACACACACACACACACACACACACAGCACTGAGTTCAGTTCCTCTCCAGTCCCAGCTCTGGGGTCAGGCTCATAGTCATCCCAGATAGAGTCAAAGGGGCCCTGGGTTTATGCTCATGCATGCAAAGGGACCCCAAGCAGGCTGTCCCCCTGACCACAGGGCACCCCCACAGAGCAGAAGTGGGTATGAGGGTGGGGCATGGGCGGCAGGACAGAAATGGATTTGGCCTTCAGTAATCCTGTCCCAGAGACTCCAACATCCACACAAACAACACAATACTAGAAACACCCCACAATCATTTCCAAAATCCTGCCGCTGGGACAAGTGTTCCTAACCCTTCATGAGGTCTTTGGAACCCTTTGAAAATCTCATGGAAACCACAGAGGAACAGACTTAAATGCATACACTCAAAATCATGTATTCAATCAACTCCATTTCAGAAATACAGACAGACGAGCTTCAGAACCCTGATTCAAAGACTCAAGCGACAGCTCCCCATCCTTCTTCATCACGCCCACTGTGGCCCCATCTCCTAAGTGAGGGCAACAGAAACCATCTCTGGGCACAACATGGAGATACCCCGGTGTGGGTTCTGATGAGAGATGCCCTTTTACCTTCTGGTCCTTGGGAAACCCACAGAGTAATAATAGGGGGACTCTTTTAACGCATTCATTCACCACCAAGCAGTGCATTCAGCCCACAGGGAAGTATTTGTGTTCCTCACCCATGGAGTTGACTTTTATTAATGTATTGACCTAGCTGCCCATGTCAATTGAGTTGGGGGTGGAGAAACAGGAAAAGCTTTCAAAATCTCTAGGGAAACACTACAAGCATAGGACCTGGGTTATTAGTGCTACTTAACATGGTGTGTAATACCCACAAAGAGGCCCACCAGCTCTAATGCTCTCTTTCTCAAGCACACACACACACACATGTACACTTGTCTATATTAAACTCCTTAATTTCCCAAGAGTCACATTCAAGGCACTTAGCTGGGAATTCAATTCTAGCATATACAGTGCTATTTTTTTCCATCACCCTGTGGCCACATCACTCATTGGGGAACAAACAGGAAAATCATCAGCCATTGTGTCATGGATTTTTTAGAGTCTAAGTCCTAAAGGCAACAACTTGGGACCCTGGGTTTGGAAAACTCAGGGGTAGTTTGAGTTCTGGTGAGAGAACTTGGCACGGAACAGAGCAGTGGGAGTCGCTGCAGGCTCCTGAGAGGGGGTTGGGGGACAACGGATGTTCCTTTTACTTCTTTTGGCTCTTCCCACCCTGCCATCAGCCCCGGGAACCTCATTCCACAAGAGAAAAACAGGAGACCAAGAGCAACATGAGGTATCAATGACTTTATTTTCCTGCAGGAACATGTCCAGGGGCCCAGGCCCAAGGCCCAGTGGCTGTTACTCTTTGTGGGATTCTTTATGGCCTAGCACACCAATCTTCACCACAAATATGAGGTACTCCTGGAAGTTAATTGCTTGATCACTATTGATATCCAGTTCTTTGAACCAGACATCCGCACTTTTTTTCTGTCAAGAGAGAAAAAAAGAAGTCAGAGTGTAAAAGACGTCAGAGAGGCTGCGGCTGAGCTGCGCCACAGCATGGCCTGGCAGGCCAGAACAGGGCTCCATGGAGCCGGGAGGAGACGCCAACCCCTCCTCTGCCTCACCTTCACATAATCCGGACATTCCTTCTCAAGCAGATTCTTCAGGTCACTGCTGTAGAGGGCATGATAGTTCCCCTTCTCCAAGGAGTACTTGTGGTAGACGTTGATGAGGGAGTTCAAGGCCTTCTCCAGTTCCGTCATTGTGGTGCCAAGGATTTGCCCACCTGGAAGAGAAAGCACATGGGGAGTGGTAGTGGGAAGGACGCACCAACCCACAGCACATGAGACCAGGGTCACTCAGGGGCTCATACCCCCCCATAACAGCCTCGTCCTGGCCTGTACCACCCAAATAGCCCACAGCACCACTGAATAACTAAACTAGCAGACGGCAATAGGTGTGACAGGAAGGCGTGAGGGGATGTGGACAAGCGTGTAACAGGGGCAGGCTACACGCACACGCACATGCACACACCTGCCAACTCTCCCTACACCTTCACCTTCTGCCCAAGAAGGGTCCAGCTAAAGGATAAATGTGCTCTCACCCCAAGTACTACAGACTCAGCCTCTTTGTCCCTGTCTTACTCTCTCCTACAGGAGCCCCAGATCTTTGTCAGACCTCCCTGCGTGCCCTCTGCCCCGGGACAGAGAGGGCTGCCCTACTGCCTGGCCCTCCCCAGGAAAAGCCCCAAGTGTGAGGGCCAGACACAGGCAGTCCCACTTACCAGGTCTTCCCGAAACAGAGATGACAGCGAATGCAAGACGGAGCAGTGGCTCCCTTTATAAAGACTGGGCCTGGCCAGTAGCCCAGATCCTCAGGCCATTCAGAGACAGCAGTTCCCTTCCAGGGTTGTACAACTTGTGATTTCTCAACCAGGTGAGTGGGGCAATCACTGCACAGAATGAAAATTTCTGATGGGGAGTGGGGAAGGAAACGGGAAGGAGGAAGGAATTGGCCTGACAGTGGACCCAGCAGGAGAAACCGGAAGAGGCAAGAGGCGTGGTGAGCACACTGCTGTACCCCCCCAACCCCACCCCCGGCCATCACCTGGCCTGTACATTGTGGCCTGTCTGCCCATCTCTCAAGTGGAATTAACATTGAAATTGTATGTGCATATGAGCACATTTCTCCATGACTTTTATCAGGTTTTCGAAAGGGTCCAAACCCACTAAGAACACTTGTCCTAGAGAAGGATTTTGGTAATGAAAGGTGTTTCTAGTATTGCATCATTGTGCATGGACGTTAGGCTCCCTGTGACTGGACTGCTAAATCTATTTCTGTCCTGTTGCCCACACCCCTTCACAATACTCCTACTCTGTGGGCTAGGGCCCTGTGGCTAGGAAGACAGGCTGCTTGAGGGTCCCTTTGCAGGCATGAGCCTCGGCATAAACACAGGGCTCCTTCAGCCTTGTCTGGGATGGTTACATCCCTGATCCCAGAGCAGGGACTGGAAAGTAACCTAACTCAGTGCTGTGTGTGCATGTGTGTATGTGTGTTTGGTGAAGCCAGCAGGGTTTGACACCCAAGAAGAGAAAAGAGGTGGCCAATTCCCCCAAGGCTTCAAGAGGTGCCAGCCCTTCTCAACCCCTTCTCAGCACTGTTGATTCACAGCATGTCTCTCCAATTACAAAAACACTTCACATCCATACAATTCTATTAAGAACCTCAGAACTGCCTATCAGAATAATAGGGTACAGAAACAGCTGTCTACAGAGGTGGAAGCTGAGGCCCAGAGGTGAAATGGTTCACCCCAAGTCCCCTAGGGATGATGTGTCAGAGCCCAGACCAGATCCAGAGTGTCAGGTTCCACTTGTGAACTTACAGGAACATTACCCAGCTGGGAAGATTCCTCTCTTCCTCCTGCATTCAATAGATATTTTCCTGGTGCTTCTCAGTATCACGGCCACTGTCAGCCTTTGGAGGAAGTAAATGGGAATAGCCTCCCTTTCTCCCTGTTTCCACAGCCCTTTTGGATTTCTTCATATCATTAGCTTTATAAACTGTGTAAACTTGGGTAAGTTACCTATTCCCTGTGCTTAGGTTACCTCAATTATTAAATGCAGATTTAAAAAGAGTCCAACTTCAACCTACAAAAAGAGCAACAATGTTTTCAAACCATGTCTCTGATAAGGGGCTAATGTCCAGAGTAGCTGAGGAACACCTCAACAACAAAAACAAAGTGAGCAAAGGAATAAGTACTTCCTCAAGTATGCAAATGGTAAACAAGCACATTAAAAGAACCCCCCACCCCCAGTCATTATGGAAATACAAATCAAAATCACAATGAGAGTTCCTGTCATAGACACAAGAATGGCTACTATTTTTTTTTAAGATTTATTTATTTATGCATACAGAACTGCAGTACAAGTCAGAAGTGCAGAGGCAGTGAGAGGATTCACCAGCGACAGAGAACAGGCCGACTGACGAAGTACACTGCTGAGGGGAGCAGCAGGCAGGTCAGGAGAGGTCTGCCGCACCATGTGGGTCACCTCCTGGGCAGCGATCGAACTCATGCTGAAGTGGCTTTAGCTCACAGCACAGCTGCTATGGAGACAGTAGAATGGTGCCTCAAAAATTATCATATGATGTAGCTCATCCAAAATGATTGAGAGCACAGACTCAAAAAGAGATGTGAACACCCATGCTCATGGTATTATTCACAATAGCGAAACCAGGAAGCAACCCGAGTGTTCAGTGACCAAAGACTGAATAAACATGGTGTGATGTTTACATACAAAGGAATGTTATCAGCCTTTAAAAGTACAAGAAAGTTCTGACACTTGCCACAAGTTGAGTGACCCTTGAGGACATTGTGCTGAGTGAAATGAGCCAGTCACAAAAGGACAAACTGGGTGATTCCATTTCTATGCAATAACTCCAGGAGTCAAATTCATAGAATGGGGAGTTGTCAGGACCCTTCAAGGTGAGGGGTTGGGGTTATTGTTCAATGGGCATAGAGCTTCAGTTGCCCAGTTCAGGTGGTAAGTTCTGGAGACTGGTTATGCAACAGCGAGCAGATACTCAACACAGCTGAAATGAACACGTAAAAGTGGTCAAGAGAGGATATCTCTGGTGGCCTCAGGGTGAGTCTCAACTTTATCACTGCTCTGACCTGAGTTCAATCCCCAGCCAGGGAGGTGAACCGCATAGTGCAGCAGACCTCTCCTGTCTCACCCGCTGCCTCCTCAGCAGTGTATTTCAGTCAATCTGCCTGTTCTGCTCCCCACTCTGTCTCCGGTGAATCTTCTCACCCAAACCTGCATCTTTGGCCTACACCCCAGTTCTTGTCTGCAAAAAATTAATTAATTTTTTAATAATAAAATAACATTTTAATAATAAAGTAAAATGGTCAAGAGGGTAAGTTTTGTTGTGTATTTTACCAGAATTTAAGATACGTAAGTACCCCCCTCCTAAAAATAGTCTACCTTAAAGTGTTGTAAGGATGCAGAATATTTATGATTGGAGGGCTTTTAAATGTGTATTCTACTTTAATAAAGTTTGCACCATAACAATGTGTGAAGCGTGAGAGCAGAGCATGCTGAGCAAGCACCCCATGAGCGTGCAGCGTGCCAACAGTCCCAGAAATGCACCTGAGTTTCAGCGGCCTGCAAGACCTTCAGGACCCAGGCTAGATCACCCCTCTCGCCCCCCAGGCCCGGCACCATGCCAGGAACACGCAGTAATAGTCAATAATAAGAACAGATAATAGCAAAATAACAGCTTACGTTTATTGGTCTTTTATCACATGCCAGAATTTTGTGTACATCAGTTCATTTAATTTTCACGATAGTTCTATACGGAATGCACTGTTTTAACTCCCATTTTACAAACAAAGAGACTGAGGACATCAGACGATAGAGGTGACATCCTCAGCTTCCTGCCCCACCTGCGGTGCCTCTTGGCTGGTGAAGCCCTCCTCCTCCTGCGTCTACAGCCCAGGGCTCACCTGCTCTGCATCCATCTTGACCCTCCTTCTCCCACCCTATCAGCACCGAGTGCATGCTTCTCTCCGACGTGTGACCCAAATCCTTACACAGCAAAGTCTTTGTCCTGCTCTACTGTGAGTCATGTGTTTATTGCCTGTCTTTGGGACTTTCAGCCCCGTTAGAGCAGAAACCATCTCACACCCCTAGGTCTGATACACACATGGATACCTTTTGAGAAGACAGTTGAACTTGACATTAAACTTTTGACCAGCCCCTGATCCAGTGCAGAAACTCCCTTTAACTCAACCAGCTATTTCAAATCATTTTGGGAACAAAGCAGAATATGCATTCATCAGTTAAATGCAGTCTAACTTCCTGACCAAGAGCTTGGTCCACGTCTTCTTATTAGGAAGCCAGGGCTGCTTCTGATGCCCGACATGACAAGTGTTTGACCAGCGATGGAGCACCTGCTACACACTAATCTCTCACCAGGCCCACTCCCACACAACCTGGCATAATGGTACCTTAGCACACATGTATTAGGTGCACATATTTTCAAGGTGATTTTATATCCACTCATTCATTAGATAACTCTGTGAAATGGACATGACACATACAATTACCCCGAGGGGACAGATGGGGAAACTTGGTGCTTAGGTGCCCAAACCACACATTAAAACAAGCAAGGCGGATCTTCTGACTCTGTAAGGATTTGTTTCCCCACCCAGAAGGACACCTTGGGGCCCAAGAGACATTAGTCTGTCTCAGTGTGGGGGTTGATGAGATTAATGGAAGTTATGTCATCCCAGGCCCCAGACCCTTCAGGATATGACGCTTTGACAAATTTCCCGAGGACATTGGGGGTGCCGGAGCAGAGGAGGACTGTTGTCCTCATACAGAAAATAAGGAAAACAGGTCCCAGCCACAGCCAGGAAGACCGACGGCAAACGGGAGCAACTGCCTCCTCCCACTGGCATGCTGCTCTGTGAAGCCACTCGTCGTCACTCCTCAAATGCTCCCGGGGCAGAGAGCCTGGGGGCTTCAGAGAGGACAGGCCCCAATCTGAGCTGGCCTTGCAGAAGAAGGTTTGAGAATTGGGTAAGCACGTTGAGGGGGAAAGCAAGGCCTGTAATCAGACTGAAGGACGTGGGGCAACCTCAGGGGAGCAGAACAGGCCCCGTTTACAGGAAAGCGCTCCCTGTCCACCGTGTGTCCCAATGCCCTAGCTGCGGAAGTGAGGACAGAGCCATAGAGACAACCCCCGGGGAGGGCGGGGGGGCAGGAGGAGAGGTGTCAGGAGAACTCAGCTGAGCCACTCCCTCGGAACTCAAAGTTCTGTAGAACACAACACATTTCCAGCGAGGCATCCGGAAAAGCTGCCCCAGGCCTGGAGGAAGACTGGCCTGTGCCACCCAGTCCCCTGTGTCCTTGTGGAGATGACTAGGCAGCTGCAGGAGGCAGCAGAGATCCTGGTGCTAGGTGACGATTTAGGGCTGCCCCTGGTCCAGCCCTCTGTCCTCAGCAGTGTGTGGGCGCTGACTGCAGTCAGACAGACAGATGGAGCCACCTCGGGGGGAGTGGAACCTGACAGGACGTGATCCTGGGCTTGCTGGGGCACAAGGCAGCAAAGCACAAGCACAGGAGCCAGTCTAGACCCGGCAGCAGGTGGAGAGCCCCGAGGGGGCGCACGCACACACACACCCCCACCCCCGGCACACACAGTCCTCCGTCCGCGGCCCAAAGTCTGCCATGCCGCCTCCTCAAGGCAGGCCCCTGCAGGTGTGAGGCCACCTGTGCCCCCTCTAGTAGAGGTTGTGCTGGGCAC